ATGTATAACTGCCTACTTACTAATTATACCAGGATGGAATGGGGTGTATAGGTCTGTAAATTGAACTAACATTATTCCAAGGCCCTTTAGAAAGTATTGTGAAAATCTGCTAAGTAGAATAGAATAAAACGAAAAACCAAATCCAAGTGTGGTCCTGGACCGTTACATCAGCATTATCTGAGAGCTTGCTAGAAATGAAAACGCGCAGCTGCACCAAAGACCTACCGAACGGCAGACTTTGGGGTGGCGCCCAGGCATCTGTAACTTAGCTAGTCCTCCAGGTGACCCCGTGCGTGCTGAAGCTTCTACTATTTTAAGATTCTTGCTGACGTTTTTACAACATTGATACTTTCAAATTCATATCATCAAAACTCATATTTTCGCATTCATATGTATAAAATGTTTCCGCCTACACATGAGACAACACACCTGAGTCAGGGAGTTTACGTGCAGGTTTGTTACACGTGTGTATTGCATGATGCTGAGGTTTGCTTTTCCACTGATTCTGTCACCCAAGTAGTGAACAGAATACCCAATAGGTTGTTTTCCAACTGTTGCCCCTATGGCACCCTCCCCACCTTTGGACTCCCCAGTGTTGATTTATTTATTTTTGAGATAGAGTCTCAAAAATAGGCCAGAGTGCAGTGGCACAATCTTGGCTCACCGCAACCTCCGCCTTCGGGGTTCAAGCAATTCTCCTGCCTCAGCCTCCTGAGTGGCTGGAATTACAGGTGTGTGCCACCACACCTGGTTAATTTTTAGTAGAGATGGGGTTTCACCATGTTGGCCAGGCTGGTCTCAAACTCCTGACCTCAAGTGATCTGCCTGCCTCAGCCTCCCAAAGGGCTGGGATTACAGACGTGAGCCACTGCACCCAGCCCCCCAGGGTTGATTGTTCCCGTGTTTGTGTCCATGTGTACCCAATGTTTAGCTCCCACTGATTAGTGAGAACATTTGGTATTTGGTTTTCTGTTTCTGAGTTAATTCACTTTGGATAATGGCCTCCAACTGCATCCATATTGGTGCAAAGGACATAGTCTCATTGTTTGTGGCTGCATAGTATTCCATGGTGTATATGTACCATATTTTCTTTATCCATTTGACCACTGATGGGCACCTGGGTTGATTCCATGTCTTTGCTATGGTGAATAGTGCTGTGATAAACATGAGTCAAGGTGTCTTTTGGTAGAACAATTTATTTTCATTTTGGTGTATGCCCGTCAATGGAATTGCTGGGTCAAATGGTGTTCTATTTTTAGTTCTCTGAGAAATCTTCAAACTGCTTTCCATGGAGGCTGAACTCATTTGCATTCTGATCAACAAGGTATAAATGTGCAGAGACTCCACTTTGGAATAAGCACTGGAATAAGCAGTTGAGATAGTCCCACATTCAACTAATTTGTAAAATGGGATTGATAAATCATCTTGAGTTGTGAAGAAAAGGGTACACATTGTTCCTACCTATTCCTGTAACCACCCAACATGTTCTTCTTGCCGGCTGCCCAGACAGAGTCTATTTATCTAGACAGGAACTGCCATAGAGAAAGGGTCACTTGAGGTCAGGAGTTCGAGAACAGCCTGGCCAACATGGTGAAACCCCGTCTCTACTAAAAATATCAAAATTAACCAGGTGTGGTGGCACACACCTGTAATTCCAGCTACTCAGGAGGTTGAGGCAGGAGAATTGCTTGAATCCAGAAGGCAGAGGTTGCAGTGAGCAGAGATTGTGCCACTGCACTCCAGCTTATTTTTGAGACTCTATCTCAAAAATAAATAAATAAATAATAAATAAATAAATAATTCATGCAGAGCTGCAAAGCTGGCTGTGCAGGAGACCAGAGTTTTATGATTACTCGAATCACTCTGAACGTGTCTGGCTGCAATGTTTAGCTGCATGACTCCTAAACCATCAATTCTAACCTTGTGGCGAATGTGTTAGTCCTACAAAGGGAGTCTGGTCCCCAGGCAAGAAGAAGGTTTGTTTGGGGAAAGGGCTGTTATCATCTTTGTTTCAGAGTTAAACTACGAACTGAGTTCCCCACAAAGTTAGCTCCTCCGGCGCCCAGGAATGAACTAGGGCAGCTTCGAGGTTAGAAGCGAGACGGCGTCACGTCCATCAGGTCAGGTCTCTTGCCACTTTCATAATGTTCTCACTTAAAATTTTTGCAAGGCGGTTTCATTCCTGAAGGCAGTCCTCTCCATTCTCTTGATGGGGTGCTCCTCTGGAGAGAGATGGCGATTTATCAAGTCCTTTTTCTTTCTTTCTTTTTTTTTTTTTTTGAGACGGAGTTTCGCTCTTGTTACACAGGCTGGAGTGCAATGGCGCGATCTCGGCTCACCGCAACCTCCGCCTCCTGGGTTCAGGCAATTCTCCTGCCTCAGCCTCCTGAGTAGCTGGGATTACAGGCACGTGCCACCATGCCCAGCTAATTTTTTGTATTTTTAGTAGAGACAGGGTTTCACCATGTTGACCAGGATGGTCTCGATCTCTTGACCTCGTGATCCACCCGCCTCAGGCCTCCCAAAGTGCTGGGATTACAGGCTTGAGCCACCGCGCCCGGCCAAGTCCTTTTTCTTAACATCACCTCCCTGCAGGGGAGAACGGCATCCGTGGCAGTGTCCTTCCCCCTCCTGGTACTGAGGTTTCCTCTTCACAGAGTGGCTGCCGAACCGGGCATGCATGGAAGCAGACAACGGTGAAATGCTTCCTAACCGGCTGCAGAGACGCAGAGCCTTTCACATTCCTGGTTTCAGACAAAGCAGTGAGAGCCGCGCTGCAGAGCCTGAGTGACGCAGGCCTGAGAGCCTCGCTGGGGTGTTGAGAGGAGGGCGCAGCGGTGCTCGCTGCTTTGTGTGCGGGGGCACCGTGACCCTGGTCCTGTGTCACGACAGCTGGTCACCCATCTGTCCCCTCTCAGTGCAACTGGGGAGAGGACAATAGGAAGGCCCAACCTAAGTGATTCCGTTTTGTTTTTCCACTATCTGCTGATGGTTGACAGAGGGATTAAAAGCAGAAAACGTGAGACCTCTCTCTCAACACTAGTAGCAACAAATATGGAGGTAAAAGGGCATTTTATGGAAAGTACAAACGGCCGTAATGGCACTCATTTAACTTGAACAACGAGCCTGCTAGGTTTATTCTGCTCTCCTGAGTCACCGTCTTTCTCATGCTTATCCTGCATCCGCACTATTTTCCTTTTAATAAAGTTTAATGTTTAGGGAAAAGGTCAGCATAAGCTATTTGAGATATTTGAGAGTTCTATCATTTTTCTCTGAATAACTTTTCAATTTAAAATATTTTAATCTAATATTCTGTTTGGCAGCTAATGTTTTGGAGAAGTTAAATGCATTAATAAATATATTAATGTATGTATGTGTGTATGTGTATATGTATATACATACATATATGGCTGTATGTGTATATATACATATATACGGCTATGTGTATGTGTATATATACAGACACACACATATATACACATATACACACATATTTATATATATGTGTCTATATATACAAACATACACATAGCCGTATATATGTATATATACACATACAGCCATATATGTATGTATATATACACACACATATTTTGTGTATATATTTAGCATACTCTTGAAAAAATTATGAGCTTTATTACAATAACTTCTTTGTAGGCAATCTATCTTCTCTGTAAAGTTTGACTAAAGTAATATGCTTTTTTTTTTTTATGAATATGCCTGGTAATCTAACTCTGAAGTAAGTAAGCAATAATGTGCTTCTGTGTCTACAGAAGATGCTTTATTAAGTCTGATAAATGGGGATTTTCAAATGAAATATTTATGAAAATAGTTTTCTTTTGAAAGAGCCGGTGCTGCAAAAATGGCTACCCAGACTTACAAGGACAACCTCAGTTTCAAACAGGCAATCGCATCGCTATGTTCCATGTGCCAGGTTTTTGTTAGGACGGTGCCTGGTGATATAGGGAATGGCAGAGCTGGGACACACATTACGTCACAGGTCAATCAGTTTGGCTGCACAGGACACGGAGGGTGAGAGACTGGCTGCCTTGCTCAAAGCTACATAGCAAGTTTGTGTAAGCATCAGAAGCAGGACCCAGAGCTTCTACCTCCTAGCTCAGTGTTCCTCCCTGAATGCTGAAAGTATATCCCTGTTGCCAAGGAGAGGTCACTCATCAATGGACGCACGTGGGGGACCTAACTCTGAATCACCTCTTAACTCTGAATCACCTCCTTAACCAGCGCTTTCCTTGCGGTGGGGAAAGTCATGAGCTGGGTTGGGCAAGGCAGGATTTCTGCACGAATCTGTCTCCACAGTCCTTAGGGCAAAAAAAAAAAAGCCCATATAATTTTATGATGATTTCCTAAGATTTCCAGTTCATAGGTTCTAAACTTGATGGTGGAGATGTGACTCACATCTGGGTACTGTCCACGGTCCCTCTGCCCGCCCCCCTTTGCTTTTCACACTCACACTGGCCCAGCTACAAACAAGGGAATGGGCTGAAGCTCTGATGGTCTAAAGTTTTGGCTGGTACGAAACCAGGGAAGTCCCTCATCTTTTCCCTCCAGGGATGCTGGACTAATGAATATTCAGGGAAACCCTGAAAGATATGAGGGGTCCCAGAAGTACACCCCAAAACCCGAATGGAAAGTGCGAAGGGAACTGAGCACACGACCTCTGTCTTTCTCTGCTGAGCTGACGTCTCACCTCGATCTCAGCTGAGAAACTTGGAGGTGGAGCAAGTTGTCTGTGTGGATCTGTCTGTTCCTTCTCACCCCTAATTAGCCTGTGTTCCAACATGGAGCCAGGATCCTCCAACCCCATCCACACTATGATGAGTCGTCTGTCCCTCCTGGGCACTGCCCCAAGAGGGGAAGCCAGTCTCTGTATCACCTCATACGTGACTTCATTCTAACAGCTCCATTCAGTCAAAAAAAAAAACAAAAACAAAAACAAAAAAAAACAAAACAAAACAAAACAAAACAAAAAGCACCTGGTGACCAGTGTCAGACATATATGAATTATCCCCTTCTTCTCTCTTTGGATCTTATCAAATGTGAATCCTCTTTCGTTCATGATTTCCAAGAAGCAGATTTGAAGACGAAAGTAAATATTTGAGACATTGGGGTGGGGACCATGGGAAGGAATAAGGGAAAGGAGGGGAGAGGGAGCAGGAACGTGTAGCGGACGATCCTCGGACTGAGAGGCAATTGTGACACTGTGACAGACAGGTGAGACAAAGTCGCAGGATTTGGTAGGAGGGGCCTCAGCGTCCGGCAACCTCTGACAGCGTCATGTCCATGCAGATGGCAAACCCTGGAGCAAAGGTGACCCACCAGAGGAAACCCACATTCTGCAGGAATCACATGGTGCTACCACTTCTGCCTTGCTCAGTCACAGGCTGGGAGCAGTCCAGGGAAGAGGAAGCTTCTGCATGAATGCCCCAGGGCATCCGAAGACAGAGCAGCTGGAGAGTGTTCCCCGACCTCCCACCTTGAAGCAGGTTTTCTCGAAGGGAGAGCTGAGCAAGGCGCCTCTTGGCTGCCACGTGTATACCTGCTCTCTTGATATTTTGCTAGCTCTACCCCTAGAGCTTTCCCCTGGAGAGCCAACAATTCAGCACCTGAAGAAGAAAACAGCGTCAGCAATACATGACATAGGCACACTGGTAGTTCTTTTATCTTTTATGTTTTGGCTAAAACAATTATTCCTTATTCCTGAAACAAGAATATTATATTTCTTCAACTCAGTTATTGTATGTTAGAGATCAGAGGAAGCTTCAGAAGTCATTGACTTGATTTATGTATGAGGAGATCTGATTTAATTTAAGCAGGCTTTCTCTCTTACCTCTTGCCCACCATGTGTTTCTTGATCTTTCTTCAGTTCATTCACCTGGAAACCAGATATCTGGGTGGTGTGGTAGGACTGCCTGGAGAAATTCCAGGACTTCTCTTACTCTGGCACAATTCTAGCAGAGGCTTATGTGTGGATTTGATATCCATGGATTGTTCTGGGCCTCATCTCAATTCCAACAAATGATCTTGCCCCACAGAATGCCCAACCGTGCTTACTTTATTGAGATAAACAGGGCTTATGTTTGTCTTGTCTTCCAAATGCACGTGACTCCATCCCTTGCCTGTTCTTCTCTTCTACTAAAATCTACCTTCCTGTTATTCACGTCTGTGTTGCCCTGACGACAGCTCAATTAGCTTAAGTGCAGCATTTTTTGAAATAGCTCAGAGCACGTATGTTCTCCAAGTTCTTTGGTCTCCTACACTTGGCTGTAGAATATTTTTCAAAGCTCAGCAACCTGATTGAAATTGCCTAGAAAGCTTTTAATAGTGGCTTGTTTCTCAGGCACACTGACACCCACTGTGTTCAATAATCCGTGGAAAGCCCATTTTTTGCTCCTTTTTGGCACAGGATAACCGGAACAATCAGATCATGTACTTAGTTGGCATCGCATCAGAACAGATTTGCTTCTTAACCTAGAAAAGAAATAGGAATATCTCACTAATTGACCTGAAAGCTAGAACATGTGTTCATTTCCTACATCAGGCAGGGTTCTCATTGTTTATGTAAAACTCAAGGCATCTATCCATAGGCTGTTAAGTTTCAGGGTACAGACAAGTTATGACAAAAATCCCTTACGCATGGCTCATCTGTATGCTTGTCTATTTTAGGCTAATATAGTGACTTCACTTTAAACTTTCATCATAACTCTCGCTTTTTCCTTATGATTTCAAGATACTGCAAAAAAAATTGAGTCTGTACTGAGTATTGGGTACTATGTGCTAGACGCTGTGCACACAGCGGTAAACTGAGATCTTAATTATTTGGCAATGTAAATTCCATAAGCGTAAGGGATACGCTTCCTTTGTTGCTGTTCCTTCCATATCACGAAGGAGAAGTTTTACTGAGAGCCAGAAAAACATCACTATCTTTCCCAGGAGTGATTGTGGATTGCAGAGCAATTCTACTCAGATACCTAGATAATAATAGCTAAACACATTTGTTAAGGGCTTATTATATTAATAATAAATAATAGGCACTATTTGGCCGGGAGCAGTGGCTCACGCCTGTAATCCCAGCACTTTGGGAGGCCAAGGCAGGCAGATCACGAGGTCAAGAGATCAAGACCATCCTGGCCAACATAGTGAAACCCCATCTCAACTAAAAATACAAAAATTAGCCAGCCATGGTGGTGCATGCCTATAGTTCCAGCTACTTGGGAGGCTGAGGTGGAAGAATCACTTGAATCTGGGAGGTGGAGGTTGCAGTGAGCTGAGACTTGGCACTCTAGCCTGGTGACAGAGTGAGACCGTGTCTCAAAAATAGTAATAATAGTAATAGGCACTGTTCTCATATTGGTAGATAGACATACACAGATATTTTTACATATAGATATGTATATATATACACATATATACCATCGATTTTCATTATTTGTAGTTTTTATCTTCTGTAAAGTTGTAACAAACACTGCATTAGCAAATATTGACCCACTGCTCCTTTGGGAAATACACAGGTTTCTAAGAGCATCTGGTCACAACATTTTGATCAACTCGCCAATTCATAATTGATTTGTTTTAGTTGTGTTTCTTACTTAATATATAATGTTGATTCACTAACATTAAGCTCAATAGCACTGTAAGTCACGTCTGAATGAAGCTTCTCAGACACACATATTTTCTCCGTGAGGCACCTCATGGACTTCCTGCCCTTAGGAACATGAGACAGGCCGTGAGCACTGTACATGGGGAACATTTTAGGCATCAACATCACCCACAGGAAGCACAGAAATGTGAAAACGTGGCATTATATATACAGAGAGAGAAAAGGACCCTTGTTGTCAGTACGGGAGCTGAAACAAGAAGGCTAGACATCTAGATATTTGGGCTCGCTGGGAAATGGGAGTCAGGCAATTCTCAAACGTTGCTACGCTGTGCATACGCACAAATGACCACAAAAATGCCACAAGGCTTGTCTGATTAACTTGGAGGTTTGAAATAAATATGAGCAAGTAGGCAAAATTGCAAATACGGAATCTATAAATAAAGATAAGTGACTGTATATATATAAGTGCACACATATATCCATGTCCAGAGAAGGGTGTGTATGCAGATGTTTAATGCCCACAACAGCCACCTGAGGCAGATAATACTCCTATTTTATAAACGGAGGAAGGAAAAGTTAGGTAGCTAGCCAAAAGCTATAAAGCTGGCAAAGTATTTAAACCCAGGGATTTGTAATCCAGGTCATGATTACCTAATACTCAGTTAAGAGTTAACCATTAGTTTTTGTCTTGGTTTTTTTTTTTTTTTTTTTTTTTTTTTTTTTTTTTGGCTTTATTTTGTAAATAAACAAGTTTCTATTGAAATATAACATGAAGGCAGGAAATAACACATATCCTAAGTGTACACTTGATGAATTTCACTGAATGAAGGAGCCCAGAACCAGGACTGAGATCAAGAAACAGATCACGGCCGGGCCGGGCGCAGTGGCTCAAGCCTGTAATCCCAGCACTTTGGGAGGCCAAGGCGGGTGGATCACGAGGTCAAGAGATCGAGACCATCCTGGTCAACATGGTGAAACCCCATCTCTACTAAAAATACAAAAAAATTAGCTGGGCATGGTGGCAAGTGCCTGTAATCCCAGCTACTCAGGAGGCTGAGGCAGGAAAATTGCCTGAACCCAGGAGGCGGAGGTTACGGTGAGCCGAGATCGCGCCATTGCACTCCAGCCTGGGTAACAAGAGCGAAACTCCGTCTCAAAAAAAAAAAGAAAAGAAACAGATCAGATACCCTTGAATCCTCTTGAGGACGTCTCCCCCTCACCACCACCTTTCCGAGGGCAGCCCCTGTCCTGACTTCTAAGTATCAGTTACTATTTAAAATAAGATTCACATCTAGTGCCTCAACCTTGGTTTCTAATACCAACCTTCAGTCAAGGGAACCAGGACTCCTTGGAGAAATAGCTAGCTCTAAGACTGAAGCAGGAACACCTGGGCATCCTGTAATGCCAGAAAACAAAGAAGTCCTAAGCAGTAGTCACAGTAGCAAAATCATGGAATCACCCTAAATGCCCATCAATGGTAGAATGGATAAAGAAAATGTGGTACATACACACTGTGGAATACTACACAGCCATAAAAAAGAGCAAGATCATACCTCTGCAGCAACATGGCTGGAGCGAAGTGAACTAGCAAACCAAACACTGCATGTCCTCACTTACGAGTGACAGCTAAACATGGAGTACACATGGACACAGAGAAGAGAACAGTGGACACCGGGGCCTGCTTGAGGGTGGGAGGAGGGAGAGGAGGGAGAGGTGGGAGGAGGGAGAGGAGGGAGAGGTGGGAGAAGGGTGGAAGGAGGGAGAGGTGGGAGGAGGGAGAGGAGGGAGAGGTGGGAGGAGGGAGAGGAGGGAGAGGTGGGAGGAGGGAGAGGAGGGAGAGGTGGGAGGAGGGCGGGAGGAGGGAGAGGAGGGAGAGGTGGGAGGAGGGCGGGAGGAGGGAGAGGTGGGAGGAGGGAGAGGAGGGAGAGGTGGGAGGAGGGAGAGGAGGGAGAGGAGGGAGGAGGGAGAGGAGGGAGAGGTGGGAGGAGGGCGGGAGGAGGGAGAGGTGGGAGGAGGGCGGGAGGAGGGAGAGGTGGGAGGAGGGAGAGGAGGGAGAGGTGGGAGGAGGGAGAGGAGGGAGAGGTGGGAGGAGGGAGAGGAGGGAGAGGTGGGAGGAGGGTGGGAGGAGGGAGAGGTGGGAGGAGGGCGGGAGGAGGGAGAGGTGGGAGGAGGGCGGGAGGAGGGAGAGGTGGGAGGAGGGCGGGAGGAGGGTGGGAGGAGGAAGAGGTGGGAGGAGGGAGAGGAGGGAGAGGTGGGAGGAGGGCGGGAGGAGGGCGGGAGGAGGGAGAGGTGGGAGGAGGGAGAGGAGGGAGAGGTGGGAGGAGGGCGGGAGGAGGGAGAGGTGGGAGGAGGGCGGGAGGAGGGAGAGGAGCAGCAAACTACCTACTGGGTACATGCTTATTACCTGGGGAGGAGATAACATGTACACCAAACCCCCAGGACATGCAATTTATCTGCAGAACCAACCTGCTCATGTACCCCTGAAATGAAAAGGGTTTTTTTAAGTGCTAAGAAAAAAAAATCCACAATTATGGGCCTGTCAAGAGGACAAAGGGGCCGACACAACATGCTCCCAGTGGCTTACGCTGGCACTGTTCAAGCCCAAAGATAAATAAAATCTTCTGGATTATAACCCAACATACACCACGAATACCCATGAGTTGATACCGATATAAATGATTGAAAAAATAACTAAGTGAGGAGAAATAGACAATTCTTGAATTACCTCTTAACTGAGTATCAGGTTAAGTCTTAACTCTCAGGTAAACATGCTCTGGATTCTAAATCCCTGAGTTTAAATACGTTGCCAGCTTTATGGCTTTCGGCTAGCTACCTAACTTTTCTGTCCCTCTGTTCATAAAATAGGGATAGCAGGAGTATCTACCTCGGGTGGCTGTTGTGAGCATTCAACACCTCCACAGACACCCTCCTCTGGACATGCGTGTATGTGTGTACTTCTACACATACAGTCACATCATTATTTATAGATTCTATAGACAATTCTCCAGTGCAGAAGAATTTCAGTATATAAAGATAATCTGCCTTCAAGGAGATGGAGAATAACTCTCCACTCCTGAAGCATGAGCTCTGCATAGTTACTTTCTTCCAGAGAATACTGTTCTCCATTGCTGTCCCGACCATGAAGACAATCTACCCTTTACTGATCTTCCTTTAATGACTTCCCTATGGAGAAGAAGAATTCAGGTATACTAGAAATATTTCAAACTAAGATTCACGAGACCTGAATTACTGTCTTAATTTTGACACATACTATCGGGTTGTCACAAGTTTTGATCCTCCTTGCAAAATCGAGAAGAGAATTCTCTGTTGTCCTTGTAAGCTCTCATAATTGTGGTTAGATGTACAGGCTCTCAAGACTGAGTTCAAATGTCAACACCACCACCTACTAGCTCTAGGCTCCTAGATAAGCAACTTGATCTCTTTCCACCTTAATATCCTCATTTATAAAGAAAATTATAGTGCCTACATTCATGAGTGTTGATGAGGATTAAGTTACATGATACATAAAATGTGTAGCATCTGATGTAGAAAGCAACCAATATGTATGAGAAGCTAATAATAATAACACCAATAATAATATGCCCGCCCTTGGAAATCTACCCTGGTTCCGAGATCATCTCCAGACAAGTCTTGGTTTAAAAGCAAAAAGCAATTCTGTGATTTCTTCTGCTCTTCTGGCTTCTCAATCCCCCGTCTGTTGGGCGGTGGGGGGGCGGGGGGGCTGAGAAGCCAGAAAAGCAGAATTTAAATATATTGATACATTTCATTGACTGAGAGTTGAGGTCCCACTGTCCTCGGATCACTTTTCCCCTAATCCGTATCTACAAATCCCTACTCTGCTTCCTTAAAACTCAGTTTCATAGTGTCCTCAGAGGGCTTTCTCACGTTCCCTAATTCAGCATTTTTTTAAATTGTATTTATTTATTTATTTATTTGTGAGATGGAGTCTCACTGTGTTGCCCAGGCTGGAGTGCAATGGCACTATCTCAGCTCATTACAACGTCTGCCTTCCAGTTTCAAGTGATTCTCCTGCCTCAGCCTCCCAAGTAGCTGGGATTACTGGCACCTGCCACCACGCCCAGCCAATTTTTGTATTTTTAGTAGAGACGGTTTCACCATGTTGGCCAGGCTGGTCTCAAACTCCTGACCTCAGGTGATCCACCACCTCAGCCTCCCAAAGTGCTGGGATTACAGGTGTGAGCCACCATGCCCAGCCTAATTCAGCATTCTTAAGGAGCTCATGGTAGTACCCAGTTTGGTCATAGCTGTGACCGGAGGTACTGTGGTTTCTTTGAGTACACAAATAACTCTGTAATTAGATTTCCGTCACATACGTGGCAAACATCTACATACACAGATCTTTAACACTTCATATCTAGAAACAGATTGAAGAAAAATGTGGAGCACACTCATTTCTTTACAATTAAGCCAAGTGGAAATGTAATATCTCATTATAGGCCTTTATTCCTTGTGTAATTTCTATTCGTATGTCATATAGCCGACAGTAAACTCGAAAAAAATAAACAGATTCAAATGCTAAATTCATATCTACCTTACTTTGATATTAAAATATTTCTTTGTTAAAGACTCAAAGTAAGCTTCAAATCCTCTCCAACTGAGATGCAGACAACTTTGGCAGGCAATCGTGAGCTCCTTCAATCTCTACCTTCTCTCCCGCGTGAATGCTTGCAAGCCAAATTCCCATGAGCAGGGCAGTTTCGCAAGCTTTACAAACTAATCTGTGTTCCTGTTAGTAGTCATTTTGAAATGTTTACCACACACAAAAATATGTGAACATCCATGGAACATCCACTAGTTTAGAAAAGCCAAACGACCAGTCGCAACGGCTCATGCCTGTCATCTCAGCACTTTGGGAGGCTGAGGCAGGTGGATCACCTGAGGTCAGGAGTTCGAGACCAGCCTGGACAACATGGTTAAACCGCATCTCTACTAAAAACACAAAATTAGCCTGGTGTGATGGTGCACACCCGTAATCCCAGCTACTGAGGATGCTGAGGCAGCAGAATCACTTGAGGCCAGGAGGCAGAGGTTTCAGTGAGCCGAGATCATACCCTTGCACTCCAGCCTGGGCGACAAGAGCAAAACTCTGTCTCAAAGTAAATAAATAAATGAAATTAAAAAGCCAAATGTTGATAATGAATTAAGCCCCACCCCATGACCTCCTCTCTACCCAACAAGAGTAGCAAATATGTGAAGAGGTTAATATGAATTATCCTCTTACAAAGATCAGGAAATATAAGGTGATGTCTGGTAACATGCCCAAAGTTGTAATAAAGCAAATGGACATTCAGTCACAAGTGACTATAAAGGGAAATTCACACCCAAAATTTCCTGGACAAACCATGAGCAGAGTAAGTCCAAAGGATGAAGAGAGAAACAGAGCTTTAAATCAGAGTAGGGAAATTCTTCATAATAAGTAATGTATGTTATTACTTCACAGTATGTGGATTTATTTCCCAGATTATGACAATATAGGGAGACAGCAAGACCAGGAAAACCCTGGACTTTGAATTCGAAAACCTGGGTTTGGATATCTGCTACACTTACTCATCAAATGTGACATCAGGAATGAGACAGAGTGTGAGATTACGTATCAGTTAGCATTCAGCTGCCAACAGGGGCGTCAGCACAGCTAACTTTTAATGATCTCACACGCAATGAAACTCTAGGTAAATGGTTGCAAATTTGGTGCAGTAATGAACTGATGTTATCAGAGACACGGTCTTCCTATCCTCCCTTCATCCTTCATATCATTTCTCTATTTTCTGTCTCTGTCATCCAAGATATGTGATGATTCTTTTATCCTTAGGCTAACTGCCTCATGGGCTCGACCAAGATAGCTGCCACAGAGCCAGAGTCATTCTCTTGCAGAATTGCATTCACCACCGGAAAACAGGGCAAGGGGCAGAACCAGGGAGCTGTCTTCTTTCCACAGAAAGAAACATCTCTCCCAGAAGCCCGTAAGTGGAATTCTCCTTAGATCTCATTGGTAACATGGTTACCCTGGGCTGCGAGGACAATCATTTATCAACTCTTGACAAACAGCTTTTCCAGAAAGAAAATGAAATGATTCAACTGCTTGATAGTCAGCTAACAGTACCCATCAAGGATATACCTCCTTATTAATGGAATTGTGTGTTAATTCATGTCTATACTTGTATGCACACAGTCACACATATGTTTTGATCATAAAATAGTTGGGATACTTACGCCCTTTTATCAGAGTAGAACAAAGTCAATGTGACCAGAGAGTTCTACCCTTTCAAATAAATAAGTAAGGCATTTTAATATTACTTTAGAAATAATTTGCTAATGACAATTACTCTTAAATGTTCCT